ACGGATGACAGCTGCGTATGAAGCATATTATTTTCTGGTGCTTTCACTACCAGAGACAGTTGTAAGCACTGTGTAACTGCCTCGAGGGTGCTTGACCATTTTAACACAACGTGGTGCGATCATCCCCTTTGCGCGGAGCGGGGTCTCCACCCCGCACAACATGATCTACTCGACCACCATTATGGTTACCGCCAAAAAAAAAAAACGGAGGTAAAAAAAAAAAACGGTAACCTGGTTGCCGAGTTCACGAAGTGAATTGGCTTGTTTTACAACGTCTTTGCCAAGCGACGAAAACCCAATCCCGATGGTAAACACCGAGGGGAGGGCTTGTTGTACAACGTCGTGGCCAAGCGACGAAAACCCAATCCCGATGGTAAACACCGAGGGGAGGGCTTGTTGTACAACGTCGTGGCCAAGCGACGAAAACCCAACCCCGATGGCAAACACCGTGGGGCAAGTCACCACAGGGAACAGGACAAAAAGAACCACGGACGGAAAGAAACGCGGGTAAAATATTTACTTGGACCGTATTTTGGCGAGAGTCAGAAAAAGAGAGAGAGAGAGTGTGAGTCGTGTTCGTGCATTTTATGTGCGCAAAAATAAAAGAAATAAAAACGTCTGGGTTGTTGGATCACCCCCGATGCGCTGCAGCATACTCACGTGTCCACTGCCTTCATCTGTTGCTGCCTATTTTCTGCCGAGTAGTATTCGCGCACTGGGACTGTTGTTTACATCTCTGTCTCTGCCCCCGAGTTTTTTTCTCTAATGTCTGTCTTATCTGCCTGTTTGTCTAGGGATCTATCTCTCCCTCTGTGACGAGCTGTTGAGGGCAGCAGCACTCCAGTGTAAGGGAAAGGAAGGAGCCACGTCCGCCGTGTAACCCCCCCCGGGCCTACACCTACACTTAGACCCCGGTCCGCGTACTCCTACCCCCCCTATCGCGCGCTGTTGTCAACACTCTCTCTCTCTCTCTCTCTCTCTCTCTCTCTCTCACTCTCCAGCGACTCTTTGACACCCTAGCCTTCGTCTGCTTCTCGGCACCGCGATACCCCGCGCCTTGTTTCCGGTGCTGGCTGTCCCGCACCACCACCACTGCTACTAAGGCTGCTGTACCTGTTTGTGACATTCCTTCTCCCGCACCACCACTGCTACTAAGGCTGCTGTACCTGTTTGTGACGTTAGTTCTCCCGCACCACCACTGCTGCTACGTCTGCTGTACCTGATCGTGAACTGACTCGTCCATACCACCAATACTGCTGCTGTACCTCTTCCTGGTATTGCGTACCACTCCTGCTACTGCAGCTGCACCTTTTCGTGGCACGTTGACTCTCCTGCACCATGGCTCCTACTACTGCTGTTGTACCTCTTCCTGGGATTGCGTACCACTCCTACTACTGCTGCTATACCTTTTCGTGACACTGACTCTCCTGCACCACAGCTCCTACTACTGCTGTTGTACCTTTTCCTGAGATTGCTCGTGACTCCTGCTACTGCTGCTGTACCTTTTCGTGACACTGACTCTCCTGCACCACCGCTCCTACTACTGCTGCTGTACCTTTTCCTGGGATTGCTCGTCACTCCTACTACTGCTGCTGTACCTTTTCGTGACACTGACTCTCCTGCACCACCGCTCCTACTACTGCTGCTGTACCTTTTCCTGGGATTGCTCGTCACTCCTACTACTGCTGCTGTACCTTTTCGTGACACTGACTCTCCTGCACCACCGCTCCTACTACTGCTGCTGTACCTTTTCCTGGGATTGCTCGTCACTCCTACTACTGCTGCTGTACCTTTTCGTGACACTGACTCTCCTGCACCACCGCTCCTACTACTGCTGCTGTACCTTTTCCTGGGATTGCTCGTCACTCCTACTACTGCTGCTGTACCTTTTCGTGACACTGACTCTCCTGCACCACCGCTCCTACTACTGCTGCTGTACCTTTTCCTGGGATTGCTCGTCACTCCTACTACTGCTGCTGTACCTTTTCGTGACACTGACTCTCCTGCACCACCGCTCCTACTACTGCTGCTGTACCTTTTCCTGGGATTGCTCGTCACTCCTACTACTGCTGCTGTACCTTTTCGTGACACTGACTCTCCTGCACCACCGCTCCTACTACTGCTGCTGTACCTTTTCCTGGGATTGCTCGTCACTCCTACTACTGCTGCTGTACCTTTTCGTGACACTGACTCTCCTGCACCACCGCTCCTACTACTGCTGCTGTACCTTTTCCTGGGATTGCTCGTCACTCCTACTACTGCTGCTGTACCTTTTCGTGACACTGACTCTCCTGCACCACCGCTCCTACTACTGCTGTTGCACCTTTTCCTGGCACTGCACTGCTCGCCGCTCTTACCACTACTACCGCCGTGGAACTGTACCTGTTGGTATCTTCCCCCGGGTACACCCGTAGGAACAAGTCTCCTTGGTTCCCTTGGTCCCCCCCTTCCCCGTCCACACACGCATCCCCCAGTTCGCCGTCCGAGCTCCAACCTGCTCGAGCTTTCACACGGAGGTAGAGATGGTCCAGGAGACCACAGGCGTAAGGAAGGGGTGGGGGATG